TTTTTTTTTTTTTTAACCAGATGCACACATGACCCTCGTTTATGACATCTCACTCAGGGCCAACCTTGAGCTTGAGATCCCATGACTTACTGCCCGGTTCTCTCATTCAAAACCCAAACCAAACTCATTACCATCGAGTCAGTTCTGACCCTAGAGGATGCAGTAGAACTAACTGCTCCTTGGGGTTCCTGAGCCTTTAGATCTTGACAGGAGCACACAGCCTCATCTTTCTCCTGCAGAACAGCTGGTGGGTTTGAACCGCGGGACTGTAGTTAGCATCTCAGTGGCAGCCCGCCGGCCACCAGAGCACCTTAGTTCTCTCGTTCCTTCCAAAGTCCAATTTTCGAGGGAAAGAATCTTACTGCCTCAGCCTGCCCAGGTTTGGACAAAGCTTTGTTTGCTTATCTGACTAAAACCAGTTTCAGCAATGAACGGCAATTCCTGGCAGCCCTGTGTCTCCGAGGAGGTCGGTGCTCCCTAGGGTTTGCAGTGGTTGGTTTTGTGGGGCTAGATCACCAGACCTTTCTTTCAAGGCTTCTCTGAGTGGACTCGGACATCCGGCCTCTTGGTGCATAGCCCAGGGCATGGCTGGCACCACTCTGAGGCTGCACCTGGCTACTGGCCAGTGCCTGGGGCAGGTGACCTTCTTCCCACAGCCAGGCTCTCCCTTGGAGAGACTGCTCAAAATCTGACCTCTTCCTTTAGCAGAAGCATTCCGAAGGGCGGTTCTGCTTGGTGTCTGTTTGTGTGTTGGGGAAGGACTGTGGGCACGGCACGGCAGACCCCTGGCTGGCTTGTGCCGCACTGACCATCTGATGGACGGTTCTTTTTTCCCCCACAGGGGGCGGAAGAGCCTAAGCTAAAGTGGGAGCACATCACCACCCTCATCGCCAGCCTCAGAGAATTTGTGAGGTCCACTGACCGCAAAATCATCGCCACCACTCTGTCGAAGCTGAAGCTGGAGCTGGACTTCGACAGCCACGGCATCAGCCAGGTGCAAGTGGTTCTCTTTGGCTTTCAAGATGCTGTGAGTATGCCCCTTTAACCACTGCTTCCCGACAATCGCAAGCCCACGTTAGCCGGGAAACGTGGAAAGATGCCAACATAAGCTCTGCCCGGTTTCCTTGCTTCAGTCCTGTCAGTGAGCTCTATTCTCTGTGCGTGATCCACGTGAGCTGCTCGCCTGTCCTCGTGCTTCTAAGTGGCAGCTCTGCTGTTGGGGTCGTTTGCATTCCTCAGAGTTAGAGCAAAATGTACAAGCACCTCCCACTGCTGAACTTTGTTCTTGGCAAACTGGCGACTTAAGCAACCTAACACACTGCTGCCCTGCACTTCCTAACTCTATGTGTGATTGCCATCTAGTGGCTGTCGAGAAAAACAGCCATACATTTTAGGATTTGTGGTTCGATTCCTGCAAGTCAGTGCCAATTCAGAATGAAGCACTGCGCAGGTCCTGCAACATCCTTGCAGTTGTTACTAGGCTTGAATCCATTTTTGCAGCCAGTGTCAACTCACCTCATTGAGGATCTTCCTCTTGTCACTGACTCTGCGCTCTGCCAGAGACTGGTCTCTCCTGAGAACATGTCCACAGGACATCAGCGGAAATCTCACCACCCACGTCTCTCAGCAGCATTCTGGAGCACATCCTACTAGACGGACTGGTTTGTCCTCTGGCAGTCTTTACGAAGGGGCCTTGGGAACACTGCTGGTAAATGTGGGACTGCTAACAGGGTCAGTCGCTCAAGCCCACTAATGGTGGAGCCATCTGCAGGGTGACAGCCTCGGAGACCATCACAGTGGCAGTGACCATGCAGATTTGGGGTAATGTGTTCATTGCTCCTGAGTCAATGTCTGCCCAGACGTGATCCCTGCTCTTAACAGGCACGAGCGTTCTCTGCGACTTGGTGTAGGCCACCTGGGCTTTGTGCTACCCCGTGAGCCGAGAGAAGACAGCTGTAAGAGAGCATAGGAACTAAAGCTACTTCGAGAACACATCACGGATACTAAATGTCAACGGCACACACACGCTGCAATGAGGGAAGCCCAGCCAGCTGTCTGCGAAGAGAATGACATCACTTTGCTAATTCCCACTTGCCCACACAGTTGGCTTCCATCCGGGAGGTTGGAAGGCGTAATGGCCAGTAGAGTTCAGGCTGAGAGCTGTCTCGTGGTGGCCCTGGGCCCAGGAGGCAGACAGGCACGCTCGCACACACCCCTCTTCCTCACTCACTGCCCGGGATAGAAAGAGCCTCACAGAATGGGTCCTGTGTGACCCTGAGGAAGGGCCAGTAGAGGGACGTTATCGGGCAGAGGTGCTGCCGTCATCGTGCCTGCTGGTTCTTGGAGAAATATGCCAGATGATTAGATGTTATCCCCGCATGTTACTCAGATAGGCAGGCAACTCTTTAGAGAGATGGAGGAACCAGGACAAACCACCAGAAAGGATTTTCTAGAACAAAGGGGGTTCGTCAGACTACCTCCATTCTAAATTGGGGTGTTCGGATGAGGCTGCACCCAGAGGAAGAGCTGAGCCGTGGAGCTCCTACTCTTCAGTGTGGGGTTTGCTGTGGGCCACTTTCTCCCAGAATCCTCTGCGCCTGCTTTCCCAAGCCTGAGGGGGAAGTGGCATCAATTAGTGGAGTTCATTTAAATCAGCCTCTTAGGCTGCTGATAAAGGGTTGCAGAAAGGTAAAGTCCTTGTTTGTTTCAGTGTTTTTTTCAATATAGAAGATAGGGTCAGGCCGTTAAACAGGTGGCCTTGAACCAGGGCTTTTTAATGTGGACAGCCTTTCGGGACTATCCCAACCCTGTTTACTGAGGGACGAGCAGGAAGCAAAGGCAGGGGAAGGAAAACAAAGGAGTGTGCTCCAGGCAGATCTCTAGGTAACAGGTAAGTGCTGATTTCCCTTCTTGACCCGCTTCACCTCACCTGTCTATTCTGAAGCACTTGGCCCTCGGAAACTGCAGGGTTGAAAGAGCAGGATTTTTTTTTTCATTTTTGTTTTGCTTACACAAAAACTGGATCACAGTGTCCTTTGCACCTTCATTCACTGAAACCAAAACTAAAATCCACACTCACTGCTATCCCACCCTTTCTGATTCCTCGCAACCTCCTAGGGCAGCGCTCTGCCCGTGGGGTTCCCAAGACCAAATCTCCATCTGTGTTGACAGGCCCACCTTTGTTCTGAGGAGGGGCTGGGGGGTTTGAGCTGCTTGCTGCCTTTGTAGTTACCAGCTCACTGTGTTATCCATTTACCACCCCCCACCACCACCCCCACACACACCTTTGTTCACAGCAGCCCTGAACTTAGAATCTACCCGGTGAAGACTTCCATGTAATAGACTCCCATATCATGGAATTCAGAGCTATGAAAAGGAACAAGCTATCAGTAATGTGCAACAACCTAGATGAATCTCTAAAGAATGATGCAGAGTGCAAAAAGCCAACCCCCAAATGTTACCTTCCAGAGGGCTTCAAAAGGCCCAGGAAGACAGACAATGGAATTTCCCCCGGAATGCTCCGAAGCCCCATCGTACTGTGTGATTCCATGCGTATCGCATTCTTGAGACGACAAGACGAGAGGAATCAAGAAGAGATAGGTTGCTGCTAAGTAGAGAAATTGGTGTGACTGTAGAGAGGTGACGTGGTGGGAATGCTCTTTCTGCACCTTGAGTGTGTGTCAGTGCTAGTGTCCCAGTTGTGCTGTTGGGTTGTGCTTTTGCAAACTGTGATCCCAGGGGACACTAGGTAAGGGGCACATGTGATCTCTTTAAGGCTTTCTTTTACTGTAAAGAGCCCTGTGGCATGGTGGTTATGCGTGGGGCGGCAGTTGGAGAAGCATGGGCGCTTTCTACTTATGTAAGGGTAAGGGGTGAGGGTCTCGGAATCTCATGGCCCACCCACCCCCACCCCCCGCGGTCTAGTGTGCCCCTTATGGTCACAGTGAGTCGGCATCACCTGGATGACATCAAGTTCAGTAGAGGAGTATGTATGTAACAAGATATTTACCACTATTCTTCACATTGTTAACTATATTTAAGGCCTAAACAAACTTTGCTTTCTTTTTAATTGCGAAAAAGAATTTCTTTCTTTTTAATTGTGAAACATACACAAGACTGCTTTCAAAAAAGTTGGTGGACATGTGGCATTGCAAGATAGTGGGATTTCCCCTACAAACTTGAGAACAGCCCTTGCAGACTAACTGCACCACTGACCCCTTCAGCAATCTTCTCGTGAGAACAGCGCTGGTCTCTTTCTTCTCCTCTGCCACCTCCACCATCCGTGCGTGCCGCACGCCATGGGAGCGACGTACTGTCTTGGACTCCATAGAAGTGGCATGCCCAACACGCCAGATGGCCCCTCCCTAAATGGCTTGTCTTGTTCTGTGGAGCTCAGTAAAATTCAGTTGAGGTGGCACGTTTTCATTTAATTTCCAGTGACACAAAAATATGTTTTATCATTTGAGGGGAAGAAATTGTCTAGTCATGTTTTTAATTTATGTTTAGAGGAACGTGCATCAGATCAGCTATTTCTACTTCCGTGACCTGAATTATGTTCGTCAAGTGGTGCGGCCGTTCACACCCCTTTCTGAGTTGTTCCTCCTGGATGACCATCAGCTTATTGCCTCCCGACTCTCCTGTCTAGTCCTGCGAATTGCTCTCGTCGATTTGACTCTGGAGACATAGCTCTTTAAGTAGCGCTTTCCTAGTTAAGCTGAACTATTACTTGGTTTTAAGGTGCTTTCTGAAGATGCTTTTGGTCTACAGTTAGAACATTACCCCAGGGAAATAATTTCAATGGTTTATGCAGCCTCCTTGACTCGACAGTGTGGAGTCTTTTGTCCCTACTTTTGATAAGGATCCATTTCCAGGATCTTGCATCAGATTGCTCAGGAGTGGTAGCCAGGCGCCACTCAATTCTCCGGTCTTGCCGCAAAGGGCACAGAGGTTTGTGGAAGCAATTAGCCACTCATTCCACATCCTCCTATTGCTGATGCTCCTTCTAGTTGTTTTTATAAACAAAGTTTCTTCCAGGTGCACAGATGTCATGAAACTATGTTGAATAGAAGGTCAACTCCTTTGCAATTAGAAACGCAAGGAGATGAACGAGTCAGCCAGGGTGCAGTATAGCACCAACGAATCACACAATATTTCTTTACTTCTTTAGTGCTTCCAGCCCCCCACCCCACCCCTATCATGACCCCAGTTCTACCTTACAAATCCGGCTAGACCGGAGCACGTACACTGATACAGTTAAGAGCTCTAGACACACGGAATCCAGGACATATAAACCCTTCAGGAACAGTAATGGGAGTAGGAGTAGCAATACTATGAGGGTAGGGGGAAGAAAGAGGGGAGAAAGAGGGAACCAATTGCCATGATCAGTGTATAACACACACCTCCGCCCCAGGAGCATGAACAACAGAAACGTGAGTGAAAGGAGACAGCAGACAGTGTAAGATATGAGAATAACAATAATTTATAATTTATCACGGGTTCACAAGGGTGGGGGGGGAGAAGAAGAGCTGATACCAAGGGCTCAAGTAGAAAGAAAATGCTTTGAAAATGATGATGGCAACAAATGTACAATGTGATTGATACAATTGATGTATGGATTGTTATAAGAGCCCCTAATAAAATGATTACAAAAAGAAAGAGATGAAAGGAGATTAAGCCTCGCTGTCTCTCTGCAGGTCAATAAGGTTCTCCGGAATCACAACATCAAGCCCCACTGGATGTTTGCGTTGGACAGTATCATCCGGAAGGCCGTGCAGACAGCCATCACCATCCTGGTGCCAGGTCAGAAAGGCTCAGTTGAGTCACCCTCCAACTATTTCGTGCATGATGCTTATGGAAGAAATTGTGAGTTGGGGACAGAGTTAGAGACAATACTGGAGATTGGTTATTTGATCAGCCATTCGTCAAGTGGGAACCACACAGCTAAAATGTCTTGTGCTAGTGGAATCACAGCCCTAGTCAAAGGGACACACAATCCAAGAAGTCGGTGGTTTTGGCTTGTCCTTCAGAAGTTCATTAAAATGTCCATCCAACCCCTCTCTTCTCTGAAGTGTTCGTTGGCTCGAGAAGACAAATGTTATTTTCTTTTCAGAGGCAGAGAACCAGGCATCGACCTGTCTGGAATGTAGTCATTAAAGAGCAAGAACTGTGGGTTATGCATAAGTCTCCAGAAGCAGGTCACTCACCACGTCTGCAAGTCGGGTTACTTACTGTTTGAAACCTTTGCCCTGTGGGACCAGGCCTGGCGCAGGGAGGGACTCCGGGTTGGGTCTGGCTCTCAGAGGCACACATCTGCAGCAGTCTTGGTAGATCATTTCAGAGGGTTTCCAAGGGGCTAGTTCTCACACCCATGTTAGCTCGGGTTTCCCATCTTTTCAAAGCCACCAAATAAATGCTCTGTGGTGCATACTGTCTGAATAATGATACACCAAGCAATATGTTTCACATGCCTGAAGAAGACTCCCTTCCAAGGATCTGAAACACATGTTTGCATCTGAAGGGAAAGGGAAAACTGTACAGGAGCAACACATCAACCTGCCTTTCAGTGCACGGCTGTCTGTGTCCACAGACACGCACACCTGTGCCATCCTTCTCTGTGCTCCTAAACCTGCCAATGCAGTGTCGATTTCAAATGACAGCTTGCTGAGCCTCATCCCAGACCTAGTGAGTAAAGATTCAGCTGGGGAGACAGCCCAGGAGTGTGATTTTCCTAATGCTCCCGGGTGATTTTAATGCTTTCAGGTGTGCGAGTCACTGGTCTAGACAGACTCCCGTTATGTTGGCAGTGAGATACCAGGGGGTCGTATGGATTAAACAAGGCACGTGGAGTAGGCGAGGGGGCGTGGTGCTCATACTCAGAAGTGTTTTTAGAGTCCACCTGCTAATAAAACATTTCAAGCCAAGGTCTCCCAGGATGGGTGGGTGGGTGGGTGGGTGGAGAGAGATGCTGCTACTGTCTGGTGTCCAGTCAGTTCCAACTCAGAGCCACCCTCTGGGTCTGAGAAGAACTGTCCATGACATTTCCTAGGCTGCTGCCTTTTCCTAAATTGTCTTCATTTTGCTGTTGACACTGTAGACTGCAAGACATACTCCTGGAGCACAGTGTCTACACGTCGACGCTAACAACACTGGTTACACTCTTCCAGTTATGCTGCCACCCTCCTCTCCCTCTGAGTGGGGCCTCGTCCATTCATGTCCGCGCACGGCCCCTGGGGTTTCTGCCTCGTCTTTCAAGTTACTATGGCAGTATAGCTTGTTCTGAAGAGAGGATAATCTTCCAGACAGATCTTTCTTTCTGTTCTTTAGTTAAGCTAAACTGTTTGACCATAAGAAGACTTCAGGGGATACTTTTTTGCTTAAAATTAAAAAATGGTCTTAGGGCAAAGGTTTCAGTCAATCATGGAGTTTTCATTCATTGAGCTGAGATGGCTCCTGAAAGTCTAGAATCCATGAGAATTTGAGATTCTGTTTGGCATTTTTACCCTTTTGACCAGGATTCTTCTGTGGAATCTTCATTCAAAATGTCCAGTAGCCAGACATCATCCAGTTCTGGATTTATGGCAAAGGAGGCAGTTTTTCATGGAGTTGATTAGCTACTCATTTCATTTCTTTCTCCTCTACCTGACTCTCTGCCCTCTCTTGTTGCAAGTGAATAAAGACTAACTGTTGTACTTGACTGGCCACTTGCCAGCCTTTAAGATCCCAGCCACTAGGGGTGAATAAGCAAATGTGGTGAAGAAAGTTGATGGTGCCCGGCTATCAAAAGATAATACTGTCTGGGGTCTTAAAGGCTTACAGATAAACAAGCGACAATCTAGCTGAGAAGCAACAAAGTCTACTTGGAAGAAGCACACTTCCCTACATTTCAGCCCAGCTGGCCCCTTCCGACCCTCCGACTAGTCCCACTCATCCCAGCTAGACCGATGTTTTACATCTCAGGATTCAAACAGCTCCTTACACTTCAGAGCTGGAAGCCTTTCCTCTATTCTAATCTCTAGCCTTTGTGGGCCAGGTCAATGGATACCAATGGATCATGTCCAAATACAAACTATCTCTTTATTGGTACTTCACCCTGCTTCCATTCAACAAGGGAGCCAGGGGGTCACCCAGTGAGCATACCAGGTTGCTAGCTCGTTGTTGCTAGGTGCCATGGACTTGGTTCCGACCCATAGCTACTCCAAGCACAGCAGAATGAAACACTGCCCAGATTCTTGCCAGTAATAGCATGATTCAATGGCATGTGTTTTTCTTTGGTCCTCCTTATTGATTTCCAGCTTTTACCTGCATATAAAGGAACTGAAAATACCATGGCTTGAGTCAGGTATACGTTAGTCTTGAAAGTGCCATCTTTGTTTTATAATACTTTAAAAAGTATTTTTAAAAAACCGTTTAAAGCAGATTTGCCCAATCCAATCCTTCATTTGATTCCTTGACAGCTGCTTCTATGGGCATGGCTGTACTCTCAGTAAAATGAAATCGTTGACAACTTAGTCTTTTATACTTACCTTGCTGTTGCTCATCGGCTCGGTGGTGAGGATGATCGTTTCCTTGATGGGGAGTATAACCCGTGCTGAAGGCTGTCCCCCCGCTGTTCATCATCCGGTCTTCACGTCCTCCGCACTTTGAACAAGCAGTTATGTCATCTCTGTATCGTCACAGGTTGTTGATGAGCCTCCCACCCTGATGCGCCGTTTTTTCTTCATATCATCCCGCTTCTCAGATTACTGACTCAGCACACAGTGAAAGGGATAGGACCTTAACCCAAACTCAGGACTGATTACAAAAAGAAATAGTAACTTGGTGACGGAGGAACTCACACACACCCCATTAGCCCAATGATCCAGGTGGTCCTCACTAGGAATCAAACACATGAGCATGATTATCTCCTGAGACAACACACGGAGGAGGGTAGACTGGCACTTCTGTGACATTCTTACCCAAAACGCATAGCCTCATACCAAATCGTGAGACGGTATCCGGCAAACCCCCAAGTGAGAGTCCAGCCATGAAATAACTAACCTGTGCTCCTCAAAGGAGCCCTGCTAGTGTAGTGGTTCCTCATTGAACTGTGATCTACAAGGTCATCAGTTCAAAACCACCACCTGTTCCGTGGGAGGAAGAGGAGGCTTTCTGCTCCCATAAAGAGTTGCAATCTCAGAAACCCACAGGGGCAGTTCTACCCTGCCCTAAGGCCAAGGTTGCCGTGCAGCAGAGTCGATTGGACAGCAGTGAGGTCGGTTGGTTGGTTTTGGCATTCCTCAAAAGCCTGAAGTACCTAAGGGAGAAATACGCAGGGCTATCAGATGGGAGAAGACTAACGAAGAGTTCATGGGGGGCAGAATGGTTAACCCCTGGACTACTAACAAAAAGATTGGCTGATCAAACCTTAAAATGCCTCAAAAGTAAGGTTGGCAACCTTTTCTGAAAGGTCGCAGCCTTGAAAACCCCTGTGGAGGGTGGGTCCACTGTGCACACACAGGCTCACCTGGAGTCAGAGTCCACTCCACTACGGCTACCAACCACAAGGAGACCCGACAACTGAACGCAGCATGGGCCCTGGGTTGGATGCTAGACAGAAAAGGGATGTACCCACCCCCGTCAGGGGGCAAACAACAGAAGCCGTGGGGGAAGGGAGATAGCAGTCGATGTTAAGATATGAAAATAACAATAATTTTTCATTTATCAAGGGGCCACGAGGGCGGGAGGGGAAAAAGGAGCTGATAACAAGGGCTCAGATAAAAAATAAATGATTATAAAATAATGATGGCAACATATCTACAAGTATACTTGATATAATTGATGGATGCATTGTTAAAAGAGCTGTAGGAACCCCCAATAAAATAATCTTTAAGAAATTAAATTTTTGAAAAAAAGGAATGTTAGTGAAAAGCTAGTGAAAGTCAATAAGCTCTCTATAGATTAGCTAACGGCATCCTGTCAGTAGTAGCTTCGAGACTGAGAATCTATTGCCAGTGCTCTGTAGGGTGTTAAAAGTTAGAGCAAGTGTTTGAAGGGATGGTAGATGGGAATATTCTGCATCATGTTTGCGACTTTTGTTACCCTGACATTATTTCAAAGAAGCAAGTGTTTTCAAAAGTGTTCCGTCTTCATCCTTCGAGCATAAAGTGACCAGACATCCCGCTTTTGGTGGGACAACCCCGATTTTTAACAAATTGTCCCGCGTCCCGCAGCGTTTTTAAAAAGTCCTGATTTTTCGAAAGAATGCACGACAAGCTAGGGTATTCGGTTTTCGGCTGCCATGTGGCTATTTCGCCAGGATATGAGTTTTATCCATGGTGTCCCGCTTTACCAATGTGAAAATCCGGTCACCGTATTCTAGCAAGAGCACACCGGATAGCGCGCAATGCAAGCCCCGTGAGTGTTCATGTTTCCGTTTCGGTCTCAGGCTTTAGATCACAGCAGTGGCTGCTGTTCCTTCTCAGGCACATCAGGACTTGGTGCCTAGACAGAGGAACACTGAGCAGAGACCACGATGGTGTTGCGCATTGAGACTTCGACGGGCTGCTTACTATAAAAAATAAAAATGCTACGCACTCAGCTACCGTCAAGTCACGGTGCCTCACAGTCGCCAGAAGGCCCCTTGAGGAGACTTCACGCGTGCCCTTTGGAAAGGTTGTCCAGGGAGACCAGTCCCTGGAGACAGCTATCGCCCGTGGAAGGACGGAGGGGCAGTAAAAAAGAGGAAGACCGTCTGTAGAGATGACTTAACATGGTGGCTATAACATTGGACTCAAACCTAAAAGTGGTTCTGAGGATGGCTCAGGAGAGGGCAGTGTTTCTTTCATTCTGCTTTGCAAGGCGTCACCGTGAGACTAAATCGATTTGATGGCCCCTACCAACATAGTCTTGCATATGTCGGACGGCTCCCCAGGGTTCCCCGGTCCGGTTCCTGTCCTCCCCTGGCCAGTGGGATGCTGTGTTGCTAGAAGCTTTGCCACTGGCATTTCAAATACCAGCAGGTCACCAAGGTGACCAGGTTTCCGTGGCGCTTGCGAGACACATAGCAGACGATCACGAAGAAATAGGTTGTCCACTTCGGAAAGATTAGCCGTCGAAAACCATACGAATAGTAGCAGAACATCGCTAGCTAGAGTGCTGAAAGATTAGCGCCTCCGTCCAGCTCAGAATGTGACTGGGGCTGAGCTGCCTCCTCAAAGTAGAGTGGATCTCCATGACAGGGATGGACGAAAGCTTTCGGGAGCCTCATTTGCTGATGGGGAAGGACTTAGAACGATGAGAAACCACTACTGTAAACATCCATTCGTTGTCAGAATGTGGACTGTTCAAGGTACGAACCTGGGAAACTTGGAAGTTATCAAAATTGAAATGGAATGCATATAGTCAAAGAGAGGTGGTCTTATTACAGAATCCAAGTACGCGGCCCCACCCCCTACGCTGTGAGTGATATGGGCAAAGAGCAACCTGCCTGCTCAGGGTTGTGAACATAATTTCTCTGGACCTCAGTTTCCTAAGTTCTAAGTGAGCTAATTACAGATTGTCACCTGTACGTAATTTCAAATCAAAATAATTTCACTTGTATAAGCAACTTTTTACCTTTAAAATCTTTTAAAATAATCACATTTCTTTCAGGTTTTAGCATTTCTCCCCCATATATTTTTTTTCTCTCCCCCATATCTTATAGACACTGTAGATACTTTCTTTACATTTAAATTAGATTATTCTGAGTATATGCATTATGTGAATTTTGCACTTTGGGAGAAAAATTCAGAAATTACATGCAGAAACCCATCCTCACTTTTGGAATAGTAGTTTAGAATATTACATATACGTACATATATGAATGAGGGGGGCTTAAAAATGTTCTGGGGAAATGAAATTGGAAGGTAATAGAATTTTTCCAGAAAATTGCGAGGCTCCCTCTCATGTATTTTCATGTATGTACTCATGTGTATAGCCACGTGTAATAACCATGTACTAAATGTATTATGTATGCATATTCTGATCTACTACACACTCAGATGCCCTGGTGGTGCTGTAGGTTAAGCACTGGGCTGTTAACCACAAGACTGGCGGTGTCTGGTTTTTTTGGCTGATAGATATTAGAGATTATGTAATGTAGTTCCTACTACTACCGATGCCCACTGCCACTGAGTCAGTTCAACTCCTAACAAGCCTGCATAGCATTTCCAAGACTGTAAATCTTTACAGAAGCGGATGACCTCGTTTTTCTCCAACTAGAAGCTGGTGGTTTTGAACTGCCGACTCGTGGTTAGCAGCCCAATGCTTCTCATAAAGCATCACTAGACCCTCTTACACTCTCTGTACTACGTAGTCCATGTTGATGCTCATCTCTTAAGAGGGGATGATATCCACATCTTAAAACGTTACAGTCATCAGTCATAGCTTATTGATACTGCTGTTGATCTTACTCCTCACAGAACTGAGGCCCCATTTTAGCCTGGCATCTGAGAGTGACACTGCTGACCAAGAAGACTTAGAGGGAGAAGAGGACCATGAGGAGCAACCTTCAAACCAAACTGCCCGAAGACCTCAAGTTGTCGTGGAAGACGCTGTGGCTACTTCGGGAGTGAGCACCCTCAGTTCCACGGTGTCCCAGGACTCCCAGAGTGCTCACCGGTCGCTCAACATACAGCTTGGAAGGATGAAAATAGAAACTAATAGGTGAGTCCTATTCTCTCCTAGGAGTCCCCAGGCCAGCAAATGCTTAGTGCACTCAGTTGTTCACCAAAGGTTAGACGTTCAAATCCAACCAGAGATACCTCGGAAGAAAGACCTAGGGATCTACTTCCAAGGAATCAGCTCTTGGGATCCTGTGGAACCCAGTCTGACTCTGACACGCTGGAGTCACCGTGAGTTGGAGTTGACTCGCTGACAACTGATTTTACTGAGACTCATTTTCCCCCTTTCTTTTATATGAGTGCATATACTCTGGGCCTACTTAACGAGCTTCATCCATAGGATATACCACATATGGTTCCTTTATTCATTCATGCAAACTTGATTCAGTGCCTTCCTTTATAAGCAAGAGAGATGTATCTTAGCCTCGTTGGTCAAATACCCTTTCTGCTTCAGCCAGTTCAGGGATCCCTTGGCGCCAGTTGTGAGTTCCCTGCTGCTTCTCTCTGCACACGGTGACTTTCAGAGTAACTGGGGTAACCCCCTAGACTATCTAGGGGGTCAGACTCAGAGCAACATGTGCCTTCCCACAGACAACTGAAAGGCAGACCAGGAAGTCCATGTTCTCGAAAGTCCCTGATTAGGAATATGAAGTTACCCCAGGAGAGGAAGATCTTTGAAGGGATAAAGCTTATGGGACTAAAGATTTGCATTTTAGAAATTTGAAAGGATGATTGGGTTATCGTCATTTACAGTATGTTTGAATTTTATTTTACTACTGGCGTTTACTTTGAGAATCTGCTAGCATAAGAGTCACATGAGCAGGTCATTAAGTGAACGGTAAATATTTCCCGTTCTACAGATGTTAGCACAGGTCAAGGTCTGAATCTGTATGATTTATAGCTTCCTGTACTGGCAACAGTTGGCAGGTGGGCACCTGACTTCTTTATGACTCTGAGTTTGCACTGAAAACTCTCTCTTTCTGTTTTTCTGGAGCGAATTGGTAAAAGTTGTCAAATATTTTGGAACCTTGGTTGAAAATTCTAAGTTGTTGGCAAGTAAGATAAAACATATCTTCTTTGTAGTCATACGTTTAGATCTTTAAAGTTAAACTTGAATTGTAAGCTTTAGTAAAAGTAATACCAAACTCATTTTTTCAGAAGCATGAATTCTGGTTCTTAGATAATAGTGAATCCCCACTTTTCTATGCATGATTTGAATACAGGCATCTCCCTGAATCAGGGAAGTGCTTCTCTGGCTTCCATATCCCCATCATGTCCTCTGAAACTCATCTCTCTACTTGTGGGATGCGACTACTTTCCTGGAAAAGGCTTGGCCTTCTGCAGTGACCCCCGGGACTGTGCTGTCCCCCATTTCCTCTTCTCAAACAGTATCCCATCAAAACACCCATTACAGTGGCTGCTGACTTTAGTCATTTCTTCTTACTTTACTCTCAACATTTGAGTACCGAGTGGAGTTGCTTTGGGGTCCTGCTCAGCCCTGGTGGCACTGTCGAGTAAGCATTGGGCTGCTAGCCTCAAAGTCAGCGGTTCAAACTCATCAGCAGCTCTGCTGGACAGAGATGAGGCTATCTGCTCCCATACAGACTTAACAGCCTCTGTAATTACATAGGGCCACTACTAATGAGACTTGACTGGACGGCAGTAGAGGCTGATCTTTGGGGAGGAAAGATCATTCACTACCGCTTTGGTCCAGCCCACAGACATGACTTCCCTTCAGAATGACACAGACAGTAAGGCTACTTTATTTATCAAACAGCTGGTATACCAGCTTCCCTGGACTTCTGTGTATACACGCTGACTTTTGTCAATAGGATATGCTAATCTTAAAAGCAGCCTAGATACTTACCCCTTTGCCTTCTCTTTGTTACTTGCAGTAGCCTCATCACGCCACCCCGATCATGCAGTCTGTTCCCCACACTTGTGTCATCTGCATCCTCAACGACTGCTCTTCTCAGCCTCTTCACTGCACCTCCCTCGTCGGAGACTCTCCTTCTAGCAGGGCCTCCGCTTCCCAGATCTGCACAGCTGTGTGGGAACAGACTAGAATGTGACACATTGCTTTGGTCTTTCAGTATAGAAACATTTTGTACAGCAGCCCATACATTTAAGTTTCTTTCCTACATTTCCACTTTGAATCTGAGAAAGGTATAGGACTATTGCCCTCCTCCTCCTCCTCCTCCCCCCACTGCCTGCCCAGAGGTTATTTACCACAGGTATCCATCTCAAGAGCTTTGAGTAGTAAGCAACTGAATAAGAATAATTTCAGTTGAATATTATCATATGATTGCAAAAGCCGGACAGTGAATAATGAACGCCCCAAAAGAATGAACGGCTCTGAAGTATAATGTTGGTAAGGAACATTGCGTCTGTCGTGCACTGCCAGGAGCACAAACATCTGCCTTGGAAAGAGTAGAGCCCGAATTCTCCCGGGATGCCAGGATGGCCATGTTTTCAGGAGAGACCAGTCCCTTTAGAATAATATCATGCTTGGTAAAGTAGAAGTTCATGAAAAAAGAGAAAGACCCCCAAGGAGATTGGTTGACATAGTGGCTACGACAGTGGGCCCAGACGAGGCCAGAGGCTAGAGGGTGGCCTAGAACCAGGCATGTTTCGTTCTGTTACACTCACTATCACCATGAGTTAGAACCGATTCGACAGAACCTCACAACCACCACAAATTATAGAACTATAAAGTTATTATATAAAAGTGTAAAGGTGTTACCTATAAATGCATTACGAAATGAACTTTTTCAGGTTAATGGGATTTTAGGGAAGGTTATAGCTCTTATTAAAAAATCTTACGCTAAATATTTAGGCAGCTCCATCCAACTCTGATTATAAGATTATCAATAATACTAAGTGGCAAAAAGTGACATTGACTTTAGAATGTATTTAAGTATGTACTTACATAAAATGTTCTGGAAATTCAGGGACATTATTCATTATCCATAAGACTTATAAGGAACTGGCTGGTTACCTAATTTCTGTGTCCTACAATTCTGGAAGTACCCACCAATACTCTCCACCTGCCTCCATGTTTTTGCATCCCGGCCCCCTACTCCTGCCCAACCAACTTAAAAAACAAAAAGACCTGCTGGCAGATGGTTGCCTAGCTTTTGTGGAACAAAGAGACTGGCAATTGTATTGATTTCAAAGTATTTCCCTAACTGATGGGTCACAAGTAAAAATACAACTAATGGGCTGGATAATACGTTCTTAATATAATTCTGAGAGCTGAGTAAGATCAATGAGGTAGCCTGCCAATACTACACTTCCTGTGTGAAGCTGCAGCTTTTAAAGATAAGGAGGAAATACGGAGCCTAGTAAGTGTAAGTTCATTGGAATAGGCGTAAGAAAACGCCATGGCATTCTTTGAGAATTCCTTAAGCGCATGCTCTCTTGATTCCTTACGTGCAGCCATTTAAACAGAGTGAGAACCCTGCATGTTTTAAAATCAGTATTTGGGGTCGTATCCTTTCACGCTATTTATGCAACCTGTATTCTGAGCAAATAATCCAAGAAGCTGAACTATATGAAGAACGTGGCATTAGGATTGGAGGAAGACTTATTAACAAACTACAGTATGCAGATAATACAACCTTGCTTACTGAAGGCAAAGAGAACTTCAAGCACCTATGAGGGTCTTCAAAAGTGGTTTTGGATAAATGGAGTCAAAAGATACAAATTTTAAAAGATAAACTTTATTTCTCAACATAAACTCCATCAAGGTTAAGATGTATTTGAAAGTGATGATACCAGCCATGTAGTCCATCTTAAAGAGCTAAGGGTTCTGGGAATTTAACTATTGCCAATACACTTTTTTGTTTTGTTTTACTTTATCAAGTAAAGACGTATGGGTGCCCTTCAATGATTTTATAAAATTAAGAAATAAAAATAAGTCAGAAGGAGCCAAATCAGGACTCCCTGCTGGATGTCTAGTGATTTCCAGGGAAACTTGCAGAATTGTCCTTGTTTGATGAGAATGAGCAGGAACATCGTCTTGGTGGAGAAAGACCCTGGTGAAAGTTTCCTGTGTGTTTTTCTGCTAAAACTTTGAGTAACTCTCTCTAGACACTCCCATAAAAAGTAGGTCTTAATGCTCTCTGCTCCTCTAGAAAGTCAATGGGCTTAAATGCCCAGAGCATTCAAAAATACTGGTGTCAAGACTGTCCCTCCTGACTGGTCTGCTTTTGCTTGGACTGGACCACTTCCACTCTTAGTAGCCATTGCTTTCATTGAGCTTTGTCTTAAGAACCTTGCTTGGAAAGCTGTTTGATCTCCTGTCACAATTCCTCCAAGAAATCTTTTGGGATGTTGATCCCACTTGTTTACCAGTAAACCTAGGGTCACTGATACATCTTCTTAGTAGGTCTAATTAGCATAATGTCATCAATGTAATGGACCAGTGTGATGTCTCTGGGAACGGAAAGGCAATTGCGTCCTAACAAAATTGCAGCAAAGTATCAAATACATGATCGCCTAGAACAGGAGGAGGCAAGCTGTTTTCTGCTGAGGGCCATCATTCAAGGTCCTACTGGTCAAACATTTAATTAACTCACCCCTAACGTGATGGACCAGAAGCCCTGGTGGTGTGGTGCTTACCTGTTGGCCTGCTGGCCATAAGGTCAGCAGTTCAAAACCACCCAGCACACCTCTAGAGAAAGATGGTGCTTTCTACTCCTGTAAAGAGTTACAGTCTCAGAAACTCAAAGGGGCAGCTCTCCCCTGTCCTACAGGGTCCCTATGGACTCAGCATCAACTCAATGGCAGTGAGTTTGTGAAGGTGATGGCTAGAAATGGTTCTGTTTGGCGCTATGTGTGATATCGGCTGGTATTGATGATTTTGCAGTCCTTGTACAGCCCTTGTACACATTCCCTTCCCTGACCTAGAGCCTCATTTCCCACCAAACTTAGTCTATTGGTGTTGGTTTTGCATATTTATATTGTTACTTCATGCCATGAATTAGCAGAATCCTCTTTACTAATGGAGGCAGTGTTATCAGTGCCTTTACAACTAATCAGACTTGAGAACCAATTTAGAAATATATGCTTTTGATTTTGTTTCACTACAACCACTCCTGGTGCCAAACGTCTTGGGCGAGGTTCTGTAGAGAAGCAAAACTAGTGAAGTGTGTGTGTGTGTGTAGAGAGAGATCAATTTATATCACAGAAATGGTTCACACACTGGTAGAGACAGGCAAGCTCCAAATCTGTGGTTCAGATGTCAGTTTTGAAGAGGCTTCTCCAGGTTCATGAATCGAATCTCAGCAAGCCAGACAACTGGCTTCTGGCCACTGAGGCAAATGAGTCCAAGGCCACAGGTAAGATGGAAGGAGCTGACAGTCCTCAGGTTCAGCAGGCAGTCATGAAAGGCTTCTGACTCAAGTCCAGAGAGTTTGAGTTTGGCAAGGCAGAAGCAGAATCCACATCCAGCAAAAAGCAAGTAAGAGTTTCTGCAGTGTTCACTAAGACTGGAAGCAATCCACACCGTGGGGAGATTTCATCGTGAAAAATCACTGGGTCTGAACTGCCAAACCACTGGGATTCCTGGCCTAGCCATGTTGACACAAAACCTTAAATTAACTGTCTCACCTGTCTTGGATCTGTTTTCTCTGGCTGCCTTTCGTGAGCTTTGCTTTTGTCCCACCTCCTGCTACCTACTTAAATATCATCGTTTGTCCTCCCAAAGCCTCTCACATCTCTGAGGTTGGCGGGCGCGGGGACAGGAGTGGTGCTGAGCCAGGAAGTGAACCTTTCTGGAGCCCTGGGTTGGAGGAATCGTGTTCTCTAGAGCTGGAGGCTGCGGGAGGGACAGTAGCGGTCTTCTTTTCAAGGCCAAGCTCTGTGCTTGCCACTTTACCATTGCGCTCTTCTTTATCATTCACACAACTTCTCCGGAAGTTTTATTTTCCCTTCCTGCAAGTGAGAAAGCCGAAGCCCAGCGTGGTTAAGTAGTTCATCCCAGATCAACACGGGAAGCGCGTGGCTGAACCAGGATACAGGCTCAGATCTGTCAGTTAGGTCTGTCTGCCTTCAGGACGTGTCAGCTGAAGCAGAAACAGACTTTGGGGCTGGAACCTCGTCCTGCACTACGTCTATCAGTATTCCACTTCCCCCCAAACAGATGCCGCTCACTAAGAGTTGTGGGGCATACAAGGATTTATATTGATTTTCTTATTAATAATGATGTTAAATTGTTACAATTCTCAAGCCAAGTCACTCAGATGCTTTCTAATGGATGAGAACATCTCTATGATGTGGAACGTTTTCTCTGAGAAAGTGTTGAAAGTGGTGAGTAGGTTGCCCTCTGGGTGCATGGCGAACCTTTCGGGGGTCAGAACTATGATGGCAATAATGTCCCTCCTTGTTGCTCTGAAAGGTGCTCCGATGCCATCCAGGAACCAGGTGTGCCAGGAACACGTCTATCCTTTTGTGACTTCGCCTCACCTCACAGTGAGAGGGAGAGAGACACAGCCACTAACAAACACACTCTGCGTGCTCACTCTGTGCCCGCTACTATATAACCTCGCCCCGCAGTCGCTGCTTCTCCGCGTTTTATGGTTTGAGAAGAGTGATTCACTTTCTGCTTTGCATGGGTTACTAGAGGATCCTTCTTTCTTATGTTTCTGTTACCAACTTATTTTTGAGTTCATCATTTTATTGGGGGGACTCTTACAAATCTTGTACACAATACATCATTCAATAGGATTAAGCACATTTATACATATGTTGCCATCAATATTTCCAAAGTGATTTCTCTCTACTTGAGCCCTTGGTATCAGCTCTTCTTCTTTTCCCCTGCCCTCCATACCCCCTCATGAATCCTTGATCAATTATATATTATTGTTATTTCATGTCTCACACTGTCTGTTGTATCCCTTCATCCACCTTTCTGTTATTTGTCCCCCTGGCACGGGGAGTGGGGGGACTATATATCCTACCTTGTGATGGGTTTCCCCTTTCTCCCCCACCCCAACCAATTCCCCCCTACCCTAATGATATCGCTACTCCTGCTACTGTTCCTGAGGGTTTTATCTGTCCTGAATTCCATGTGTCAAGAGCTCTTATCTGTATGTTACCAACTTTTTGTAAATTATAAAATCAGTATATTTTTATTGTGAAAATAATTTTAAAATCCAGACAAATAAGAAATCAAAATTGAAAGCACCACTAATTCCGGTATCAAAAAAAAAAAGTTTTGTGCTAATATTTTGTTGTATGTTCTTTGAACTATTATGTATACATGTGTATAATTTTATTTTTAAAATTTATTACCAACTTTTGGGTGGATTACTAAACATGTAAAATATCAATAGGCCTGCTAACATCCCATATTTCTATTTCTATGATTATAGTCATACAAATAAACACTAGAACAACCATTTCTGAAGACTTGGGCAATTTGGGCTGGATGGTTTGAAGTCTTGTCCAGAAACACAACATGGTCTGGAGTAGAGCCCTGCTACCTAGCATGGGTGTCTGTGTCTCACATCGTCTGGGGATAACTGAAATGCAGGACCTCAGGGCTCACGCCAGGGCCCCAGACCCAGAATCTCCACTTCCATCAAATCCCCAGAATGCGTGTGCATGCTCCTTGAGGACCCCATGTATCCACTTCAGTCTCGGTCAACTCAAGTGTCCTGTCAATCAATCTAATTATTCTTATTATTATTTGTAGATTACTGGAAGAATTGGTTCGGAAAGAGAAAGAACTGCAAGCACTCCTTCATCAGGCTATTGAAGAAAAAGACCAAGAAATTAAACACCTGAAGCTGAAGTCCCAACCAATAGGTACAGAGCAGAAAAGTTTAAAGGAACAGTGTCGAGCAGTTGTTGGGTGCATGGAGCCGCTCGCGAGTCTTTTCTCCCGCGGTGTGGCTGGGTGGGTTCACACTGCCTACCCGTCCGTTAGCGACGAGTTCTTCCCTTACTGGGTGATCGGAGCATTTTGGAGTCATGCAAGGTGCTGAAAAAGCTCATGAGCCCGAAAGATAATGGGACTTTCACTAAGTCTTTGAACTTCCCTCTTGGATGTTCAAAAGGGCTGCTACACACACACACACACAAAGATGATTCGTGAGCATCTTTTCCTCGGATTATATATTCTTAAGACCTTTAAATCTTTCTCTTAAAGTTTTTATTTGAGTAGAATGCTTCTCTATTTTGTAAGTTTGCATTGGCATCTTGCATATCTCCCCCTTACAATATGAAGGCGCTTAAATAAAATACATAGTAGCAAGGAGTCATCCGCTCTAACGTTGAAGCACTCTGTTCTGTGAGGAATTAGCTGTGAGACAGCATCTGGGGGAGCTTTCCTCCGCCCTTTTGGAGGAAATGAGAATTCATAGGTTCGGGACAGGTAGATGGCCCTGCCAAATGACTGAACACAGTGGGGGCCCTGGGGTGCAGTGGCCACACGTTGGGTTTGCATCCCCATGGAAACCAGCAGCAGCTCCTTGGAAGAGGGACTGGGCTCTCTGCTCCCCTAACAGGCACTTTCTCAGAAACCCCCACAAGGGCCCCTTTGGGTCAGCCTTGACTCAAGGCAGTGTTTGGTTTTTGGTTTGAGTGGGAAAAGAAAGTCTTTTTTCTTTAATCATTTTATTGGGGGCTCATGCAGCTCTTATCACAATACATACATACATCCATTGTGTCAAGCACATTTGTACATTTGTTGCCCTCATCATTTTCAAAACATTTTTTCTACAAGCCCTTGGTATCAGCTTCTCATTTTTCCCTCCCTCCCTCATGAACCCTTGATAATTTATAAATTATTATTTTTTCATGTCTTACACTGACCGATGTCTCCCTTTACCCACTTTTCTGTTGTCCATCCCCCAGGAAGGGGTTATAGGAAGACATTGTGATGGGTTCCCCTGTCTCCCCCCACCTTTCCCTTCCCCTCCGGGTATGGCTACTCTCAATACCTGTCCTGAGGGGTTAATCTGTCCTGGATTCACTGTGTTTCTAGCTCTTATCTGTACCTGTGTACATGCTTTGGTCTAGCCGGATTTATAAGGTAGAATTGGGATCATGATAGTGGGGGTGGT